TTGAGACTAAAGACTCAATGTATTTGAGACTAAAGACTCAACCTACTTGAGACTAAAGACTCAATGCATTTGAGACTAAAGACTCGATCTACTTGAGACTAAAGACTCGGTCTACTTGAGACTAAAGACTCAATGTATTTGAGACTAAAGACTCGATTTACTTGAGACTAAAGACTCAATGTATTTGAGACTAAAGACTCAACCTACTTGAGACTAAAGACTCGGTCTACTTGAGACTAAAGACTCGGTCTACTTGAGACTAAAGACTTGTTGTGTTTTGACCGTTAGTTTGAACAATAAATATTATCTGTATTATTTACCTCTCGTCCCGGCTCGGTCCCACACACACCCGTCCTCCATGTCGAGGTGACGGGTTGTTACAGGAACGCTGACGAAGCTCGAAGCCGGTACCGCAGGAAGTGCTGCACTGTCCCCATGACGACCACGGCGTCCAGCCTCCGTTTCTACGGCAACGGAGACAAAGGAAAAGAGAACCGCATGAAGAACCTTTTAGATTATTCTAATCATCACTCGAAACACACACACACACACACGCACTCAATCTGTTTAAGTGCTCTGTTCCTGGGTAGCACTTCTCATGATTTAATTGCCACTTTCTGCAAAAGCACAATTCAATTTTAGAAACCACGGATTGAATCTTCGCCGGCGATCCTCCAGGACGAAGGTGGCCGAGCTCTGCGTTTGAGCTCTGCTCTCTGTGAGCTCTGATTGGACGGTTCCCCCTGCAGACGGAGGCGCTGATAAGGTGTCATAGAGAACCTGGATGTTCTAATGAGAGTCCTCAGGTCGGTGATGTTTCTCGTGCTCTGTCCTGTGAGTTGAGCCCTCGAGGTGGAAGCTTCAAAGTCAGTCAGGACGCAGAGATGTTAGCGGTCTCATGTGCTTTATGGGCTCCATTAACTGAGCCACGCTACATTATAACCTCAATCTATGTCTTTATGATAGATCTTATTATTATTATATATACATTTGAAGCTTGTACAGATACTTTAGTGAAGAATAACACAGTTAGAACGACATAAATCATTAAAAAAAGAAAGTGGAATTTCTTTGATAATTTACTTTAGAAAAAATGGAAAACAATGATATATATATATTCATTCAACAAATGTTTCCGATGTTGGAAAAAACATGGAGGCTCCACATGTTACAAATATTAAACTATTGACATGTTTGGGTTCAGAGGGTTACAACACAAAGAGGAGCTCTACATAAAGCAGAGACATGTATCAGGGCAAAAGATAGAACACAATTAAATCAATTAAATTAAATAGAATACAATTAAACTAAATTAAAACAAGAGCTGGCAATGAACAGAGTTTAAACAGTATTATTAAGATGTGATGGTTTCATTTAATTTTATTTAATGTATTATACTATATTGATCCCTTTAAGGGGGAAATTTGTCTCTGCATTTGACCCATCCCTGTACACAGGGAGCAGTGGGCTGCCAATGACAGCCGCCCGGGGAGCCGGGGGTTCAGTGTCTTGCTCAGGGACACTACGACACGTGACACGTCCCAGTCGAGGATCAAACCGTCGACCTTCCGGCTCCCAGACAACCCTCTTAACCCAGTTTTTTTTTTTTCATTTATTAAATTAAATTAATGAAAGAAAAGCGCAGCTCAAAGCAGCTTCTGACCCGACAGCGTCCTGAACATCTGAAGGAAACTATTGGGTTTCATTTCTTTACAAATATCAGAACAGAGGCTGCTGAGTCCTTTAAATCAGTTCACGATCTATTATTCTTTAATCATCCGGCAGTTCATAAAGATTTAAGAGCAGGATTTCATTTGCTTTGTTCTCGTGCTTCTCTGGTATTCTCTGAATGTGCTGAAGAGTTTCTTACTGTCATCTTTAGGAGGAAAGAAGGAGACGATGAAGAGTTTCTCTAATGATCCTCGACCAATCACAGCTTGCCGTCTTTTCACAACGCACATGATGTCATCAAGGTAGGAGGCACTAAATGAAAAGCGACTGTAACCTAAACCTCTGTTTCAAAGCTTCTACCTGCAGCACCAACATCACTGCTCCTACTCTTCGTCAATGTTTACAGATGAAGAGTTCTCTGAGCTCCGATTGGTCGAAACCATGAGAGAAAACACGTCGTGGAACGCAAAAAAATAATCAATAACAACACCGATGTTTTTACGTCTTTCCTCTTTCTTTGTACATGTTTGTGCATTTTGTTAGAAAACATCTGTCCAACTAGCACATTAATAGTTATATCGTAATCATTATATTATTATTTCTTAATTTTCTGAGATTGGACGAGTGGACCTCGGTAGTTCAAACCTTTATTGTATTAAATATGCATAAAAATCTAGATTGTTATGATTATTATGTGACATAGTAATCTAAACCGTGGTAGTCTAATGTTTTTACTCCTCATAGTTCGTACTTTCTTCTTTGTTTGCACATAAAATACTTTAATTCTTGTCTTTTCTTATATTGACTGAAAACATCGGTCCATCTGGCACACTGGTAGTTATATTGTATTCATTATATTTCTTAATTTCCAGTGATTCCTGTGAGTAGTTCAAACCTTCACTGTATTAAATATGCCTCAGAATAAACATAACGTGGATGATTCCTACCTGGAGCAGTTGGAGACTTCGATGGTGGGGCCCTCACAGTTCCGGCCTCCACAGCGGGGGGGCGGGCTGTCACATGACCTGGAGCGACACGAGCACGAGCTCACGCCCTCCGCTCCGTCGTCGTTGTTGCACGGCTGCCATGGCGCCCAGGGTCCGAAGCCGCCATTGGTGGTTTGGTTCCGCAGCTGGAAAACAAAAAAGAGTGTTTATTCTGTCAGATCATTTTAATTTAATCATAAACTGTGTATAAGAAGTGGACGTAGTCGTCATGACGTCACCCACTGGTTTGTGGATGTTTTGAATTTCGTCGTCGCCATCTTGTTTTTCTTTACAAAAGTGAGCATATCTGGACTGAGGAGGAGTGACGTAGAGACGCCGTATACGTCTCTGGTAGAGACCTGTCAATCACAGTAGCCCCGCCCTAAAGCATCCCCTGCTTTATGGTCTGTGTGACTCTAAATGGACCATAATGTACTAAATGAACATCATGCTGTATTGAAGACTTGAACCTAGAGATTGAGACCATAAACTCATGTTTACAATGTTTACTGAGGTAATAAATCAAGAGAGAAGTAGAGTCATTTTCTCGTAGACTTCTATACAACCAGAGGAGTCGTGGATAACGGATGATGCCGACCACTGTGTCATGTGACGGATGACATCATCAGGTTCTTTAGTTACCGGACACACGGTGATGTTCTGCTTCCACTGGCTCATGTTGGAGCTCTCCTCCAATGAGGTGCAGCGACGCTGCCTGAAGTCCCACCCACAGTACGGGTCCCTCGCCTCCAGACACAGTCTGTAGGGGGGAGGAGAGAGGAGAGAGAGGAGGGGAGAGAGAGGAGAGAGGAGAGAGGAAAGAGAGGAGGAGAGAGGAGAGAGGAGGAAAGAGAGGAGGGAGGAGAGAGGAGAGAGAGGAGAGAGAGGAGGAGAGAGAAGAGAGGGGAGGGAGGAGGAGAGAGAGGAGAGAGGAGAGAGAGGAGGAGAGAGAGGAGGGAGAGGGAAGGAAAGAGGAGGAGAGAGGAGAGAGGAGGGAGAGGGAAGGAAAGAGGAGGAGAGAGGAGAGAGGA